CTCTCTCTCTCTCTCTCTCTCTCTCTCTCTCTCTCTCTCTCTCTCTCTCTCTCTCTCTCTCTCTCTCTCTCTCTCTCTCTCTCTCCCCTCCCTCCCTCCCTCCCTCCCTCCCTCCCCTCCCTCCCTCCCTCCCTCCCTGCCTCCTCCTTCCCTCTCTCTCTTTCCCTCCCTCCCTATTATTATTATTATAATGATTATTATTATCATTATTGTTATCATTTTCGTTATTATTATCATGATTACCATTGCTATTATGTTTACTATTGTTTTTATTATTGTTGTTATCATTTTCATTATTAATATCATCATCCTTATCTCTTTCTCTCGCGCGCACGTTTTCCTTCTCTCTCTCTCTCTCTCTCTCTCCTCTCTCTCTCTCTCTCTCTCTCTCTCTCTCTCTCTCTCTCTCTCTCTTCTCTCTTTCTCTTTCTCTTTCTCTTTCTCTCTCTCTCTCTCTCGCTTCCTTCTCTCTCTCTCTTTACCTATCTATCTCTCTCTCTCCCATTCTCCCTCTTTCCCCCATCTCTCTCTCTCTCATTCTCCCTCTTTCCCCATCTCTCTCTCTCTCTTTCTCTCCCTCCTCCCTCCCCTCTCCCTCCCACCCAATCACCTTCCCTCCCTCCCGCTTCAGAAAACCTCCGACCTCCTGTACCAAGTCATCAGCAACGCCTACTTCAGCGTGGACTCCTTCTTCTTCCTGAGCGGTTTCCTCGTCTCCTACGTCCTCCTCAGGGAAGTGTCGAGGACGGGCCGGTTCAACGTCTTGGTCTTCTATCTCCACAGGATCATCAGGTAATCCTATAGGCAGTGGATTGATAGGGAGTTGGTTATAGGCGATTCCTGTTGTTGTTGCTCTTGTTGTTGTTATTGTTGGATTTAGTCTCCTTATTCTCGTTATTTTGTTACTGTTATTTTTTATTATTAGTATTGTTATTATTATCATTATTATAATTGTTGATTATTAATCATTGTCATCGGTATCATTTTATCATTGTTGTTGTTGCTGTTGTTGTTGTTGTTGTTGTTGTTGTTGTTGTTATTACTCTTTAGGTAATTAGTATATCGAGTGAATTTCTTAACGAGTTAAGTTGTGTTTTTCTTTTTGTTTATTTTTTTTTTTTGGTTAAATACAATTTTTCCTCATTTGTCATTTGTTTGTTCGTTTTCCTCTTTTTATTTCTTTTTGGTATTGCTATCTTAATTCTAATTTCTATTTTAATTTTGAAATTGGATTTAGATTCAATTTTGATTTTAAATTTTGATTTAATCCTACTAATGTATATATATATATATATATATATATATATTATATATATATATATATATTATATATATATGTGTGTGTGGTGTGTGTGTGTGTGTGTGTGTGTGTGGTGTGTGTGTGTGTGTGTGTGTGTGTGTGTGTGTGTGTGGTGTGTGTGTTGTGTGTGTGTGGTGTGTGTGTGTGTGTGTGTGCGTATTGTGTGTATGTATATTATATATAATATATATATATATATATATAATATATAATATATATATATACATACACACATATATTTATATATTATTTTTTTTAGGTGGGGTCTTTTTTACATTCACAGTCTTATCTTAATTTCTATTTCTTGTTCTTGTTCTTTTTGTTCTTCACCTCCATCATCTCCTTATTCCCTTTTTCCTCTCGTCCTTCAGTTTTCATCCGTTGCTCGTATCATAATTATTAAAAATTAATAGATAAAAAATCAAATAAGAAAATGATAAAGAAACACGAATTCTTCTTAGCAAAGCCTTTCCTTTTCGTATATTTTCTAAATTTCTTCGATTTTCTAATCTTAATTTATTCTTACTTATTTTTTTCTATTTCTTTTTCTCTCTTTTATTTTATTTCCTTTGCCTCTTATTTTTCATTTCTTTTTTCTTCTTTATTTCATTTTCTTGTTTTTATTTTCTCTCTTTTTCCTCCTTTGTTTAATTTCTCACATTTTTTCTTTCTTATTTCTCCTTTATTTGATTTTCTTCCAAAATTTTCTTTCTTTCTGTTTCTTTAATTATTTTTTTCTTTTTTTCTTTCTTTTTTCTCATTTTATTTCATTTTCATTTTTTTCCTTTTTCGTCTTTATTCCATTTTCTCATTTTTTTTTGTTGATTTTTTATTCCATTTTTTTTCTTTTTTCTCCTGTATTTCCTTTTCACTTTCTCACTTATTTTTTATTCTTTTTTTATTATTTTATTAAATTTTCTTCCATGTTTTTCTTTTTCTCCTTTATTTTGTTTATTCTTTTCACATTTTTTTTCTTTCTTTCCCTATTTCGTCTTCATTTCATTTTCTCACTTTATTCCATTTTCTTCTCCCTTATTTTTTTCTTTTTCATCTTTATTTCATTTTATTTTCACTAATTTTTCTTTTCTTTCCTCTTTCGTCTTTATTTCATTTTCTCCCTTATTTTTTCTCTCATTTTCTCATTTTATTCCATTTTATTCTTACTTGTTTATCTTTTCTTTCTTTTTCCTCCTTTGTTTCATTTTCTCATTTTTTTCTTTCTTCTTTCTCATTTATTTCATTTTCTTATTCTTTTCTTTCTTTTTTCTCATTTTATTTCATTTTCATTTGCTCACTTGTTTTTTCTTTCTTTCTTTTTTCTTATTTTATTTTCTTCTCCCTAATTTTTTTTTTTCTTTTTCGTCTTTATTTTCTTTTATTTTCAATGATTTTTCTTTTTCTTTCCTCTTTCGTCTTTATTTAATTTTCTCACTTATATTTTCTTTTTTTATTTCATTTCCTTTTTACTTATTTCTTTTTTTTTTTTTTCTCATAATTATTATTATTGTATTATTATTATTTTGGTATTATTATTATTATTATTATTATTATTATTATTATTATTGTTGTTATTGTTATTATTATTATCATTATTATTATTATTATTATTATTATTATTATTATTATTATTATTATTATTAATTACTCTTCTTATTTATTATCATTATTGTTGTTGTTGTTATTAGTTATAAGGTAATTAGCGAATAGCAAGTCAATTAAAGGTAATGTTACTATTTTTCCTTCATCGAGACAAGCATAAAGAAAAGAAAGAAAGTAAAAAGAATAATAATAACTTAAAGAATATATATATATATATATATATATATATATATATATATATATATATATATTATAAATGATAATTATTATGATATAAAGCGGGTAGCTGATAAAAAATGGGAGACGAAAGAGGCAGAAAGGAAGAACGCGAAGATGAAGAAGGGGAAGAAGAGGAAGAAGAAAAAATGAAAAGAACACGAAGAGTAAGAAGAAGAAAAAAGAAAATAAGACGAAGAGTAAGAAGAGAAAACAAAAAAGAAAATAATAAGAAGAAAAGAAGACGAAGGAGACAAAAGAGATACGAAGAAGAAAAAGAAGAAAGGAATAACAAGAAGGCGATCAAACAGAACAAGAGCAATTAAGACTTTTTTTTTTTATAATGAATTAAACTCAAACAGGAAATCCCTCCCCCCCCCCAGACTGCTCCCCCCGATCGCCCTCGCCACGGGCCTCTTCGCCACGGTCGCTCGCCTCCTCATCTCGGGGCCCATGGCGACCGGCTGGGACGCCATGAGGAGAGCCTGCGTCGTGAACTGGTGGAAGGACCTCGTCTTCATCAACAATCTGTACACGACTTCCGCTGAACCTGGAATTCGGGATGAGTGTATTGCTTTCGATGTGAGTGTATTGCTTTTCGTGGATGTTGTTGCTTTTCGTGATGTAATGCTGCTTTTCATGTTGTTCGTATGTTGCTTTTCGTGGATGTAAGGATGTTGCTTTTCGTGGAGGATGTTGCTTTCGTGATGAGTATGTTGCTTTTCGTGGATGATGTTGCTTTTCTTGCTTTTCGTGGATGTGATGTTGCTTTTTCGTGGATGTAAGGAGCTTTTCGTGGATGTATGTTGCTTTCGTGGATGTAAGGATGTTGCTTTTCGTGAAGGATGTTGCTTTCGTGGATGTTGTTGCTTTTTGGATGTGTTGCTTTTCGTGGATGTAAGGATGTTGCTTTTCGTGGATGTAAGTGTGTTGCTTTTCGTGGATGTAAGGATGTTGCTTTTCGTGGATGTAAGATGTTGCTTTTCGTGGATGTGTTGCTTTTCGTGGATGTGTTGCTTTTCGTGGATGTAAGGATGTTGCTTTTCGTGGATGTTTGCTTTTCGTGGATGTAAGGATGTTTTCGTGGATGTGATGTTGCTTTTTCGTGGATGTGATGTTGCTTTTCTGGATGTGGATGTTGCTTTTCGTGATGTAAGGATGTTGCTTTTCGTGGAAGGATGTTGCTTTTCGTGGATGTGAGTGTGTTGCTTTTCGTGGATGTAAGGATGTTGCTTTTCGTGGATGTGAGGATGTTGCTTTTCGTGGATGTGTTGCTTTTTCTTTTCGTGGATGTGAGGATGTTGCTTTTCGTGGATGTGTTGCTTTTCGTGGATGTAAGGATGTTGCTTTTCGTGGATGTAAGGAAGTTGCTTTTCGTGGATGTAAGGATGTTGCTTTTCGTGGATGTGAGGATTTGCTTTTCGTGGATGTAAGGAAGTTGCTTTTCGTGGATGTAAGGATGTTGCTTTTCGTGGATGTAAGTGTGTTGCTTTTCGTGGATGTGAGTGTGTTGCTTTTTCGTGGATGTGAGTGTGTTGCTTTTCGTGGATGTGAGTGTGTTGCTTTTCGTGGATGTGAGGATGTTGCTTTTCGTGGATGTAAGGATGTTGCTTTTCGTGGATGTAAGTGTGTTGCTTTTCGTGGATGTGAGTGTGTTGCTTTTCGTGGATGTAAGTATGCTGCTTTCGTGGATGTAAATATGCTGCTTTTCGTGTAAAGTCGGTGTTTCCGTCAAGTGTTGAGTGTGAGAGGAAAGGACGATGGGCTCGGGATGTAGAGTTTGATCAAGGCACATCATGCCGAGCGAACGAAAGGAGAGTGGCAAGGTTTAGGAGATCTTTTACGGTCGGAAATCTCGGTAAACATGTTTCGAATTCCGCCCATAGAAGGCCAATAGAATGTGACGAATGGTGGTGTACATTAGGTGGGGTTTGGAGCTTTACTCACAGCTGTAGCTTCTCGTTTTTGCGGTGACCAGGTGGACTGACGGCGCATTCACACCTGGGAGCTAATATCTTGCACTTCCTTTAATTAGGTGATGTAGGTATCGTGATATGCAAATTTCTTGAAGGCAGAGGTAGAGGAAGGCCACATCACCCACGAGACACGCTGGTTAATTAGTGGCATTAATTAGGAAAAGGGGTGGGTTAGTAGAGGTAGCATAGCTCAGTAGTCTCTCTCAGTTGAATCAGCTGTGAGTGAGTACTGGTATGCCGAGCGGGAAGGAACTGGCCATCCTACCGTGGCTTGGTACGCTCGTTCCCTTACAAACCTGATCCCTTCGTTCTTTTGGATATGGTACCAACTTGTTCTTTAAATGCGTTATTGTCTGCAGCCAAAGAACATGAACTTCAAGTGACAGATGGAACTCGAGTTAAGTCAGCTGACAACAAGTAAATAAATCATCCATTCCTTGTCAACATATAAATGGGTGTGGTGTTCCTTCTCATGCATGCTTTAAAGCAGCCCTTCGTCTGCACAGGAGGCAATGGATGACGAAAAGAATAACAAATAGTCGATGAGTGAGAGATCAGAGTCGGACGCATCTGTCCTACAAATAAGCAACGTCTTGCACTTGGCACCTTGTTGATGTCCCTTGGCTCTTGATGAATCCCTGGGAGGGCACAGTCCTTTGTGACGCGAGCTGTTCCATTTACAGGACACGAACATGAGTGTTCGGAGAGAGAGAGAGAGAGGAGAGGAGAGGGAGGGAGAGGGGGGGGGAAATGAAGGAGAGAGAGAGAGAGGGGGTGGGGAGGGAGAGAGAGACAGGGAGAAAAGAATCCAAGAATAATGCAGTTAACAGAAGGGAACAGGTTCAGATCAGCAAATGATTGGATAAGAATTAGATATGCAGTAAGAATATGTCAGTTAATGTTTAAGATATCATAAATACTAGAAATTATATTGCAGATAGCAGGGTGGGTCAAGGAATTTTACAAGTGATAATGATATCACTTTATTTCTCGGAAATTTTACTTACAGGTCGTGCATCAGATTTTTTCAAGATCGGCGGAAATGTAGTATAGGGAAAAAATGAAATGCAAGATGAAAAAAATGCCGAGATTGGGAGAACAAAACCTAGAAGTGAACAGCGATAATCCAGGCAATTAATGATTTGATTCATGAATAGTTGATTGATGAACATAACGTCTAAGTACAGCAAACAGCTCATGACGAATTCCGCCTGCACCGAGACCCGAGTTGAGCGAGCAGAGGCCTGTGTGGAACGGGAAGAGACAGACCCGCTCGACACTGAGGCTTTGGTCGTCCTTCGTGAGCTCTCGATGGCGGACGATGCCTGGGATGCCGAGTTTCCCTTCTGTTTTTGATGAAGGACCCACGATCTTCAAATTTATTATGGCATGTTTATTGCAAATGTCACGATATATAGATAGATAGATAGACAGACAGACAGACAGACAGACATATCTATCTATCTATCTATCTATCTATCTATCTATACATATACATATACAGTGAACCCTCGCTAGAAAGCGGTTCACCTTTCACATTCTCGGTGCTTCAACGGATTTGCATTTGTGCATTGTGTGTTCTGCATTCTGATTGGCTAAACAGTCTCTCCGCTTCTTCTCTACCTGTGTGAATGACGTTACGGTTTTATATGTACATGTACGTGAAACAGTTTGCCAAAATTAAGTTTGCAAATTTTCTCTAGAACCCATGAAGCCTTCAGTTCGTACTGATGATTAGAATTATTATTTTTACAGTACATGTAGTTATTTGTAAAAACGTTTATATACAGTACTTTTATTCACCACAAATGCTTCTGCAAAAGGTTTTGTTCTCTTTGTTTCACAGTATGTAATTTCATTGTATAATAACTGTAAAAAAGTTGGTTACTACTTTACGGATTTCGCCTATCAGGTTTTATTTTGAACGTAACCCCGCGCGAAAAAACGAGGTTCACTATATATACGTATATATTAAGTATATTAATATATATTTTTAATACACATACTACTAATATCTGTATTATTTGTATTATATACTATTTTGTAATAATACCTACCATAAATACTAGTCACTATATACTATACTTATATATTATATTATATTTTATCATATACTATATATATATATATATATATATATGCTAACATACATATATACATATATATCTTATTAATAACAGTAGAACATACATATAAAGTAATTACAGCAGATTATCTGCTGATGACATACGTGAATCAGGCTGATCGATAATGTGTGTGTTGTGACATATACATGTGTTTGTAGTGGTGTGTTGTACTTAAGCGTGTAAGTGTGTGGTGTGTCGTTGGTTTGTATTGCGTGTGTCTTGCTAGCGTGTAAGTGTGTGTGTGTGTCTATGACTACGTGTTTTGTATGTGCGTTGTGTCTGTACTAAGCGTGTAAGTGTGTGTGTTGTTCGTATGACGAGCTACGTTTGTTATGTGCGTGTGTCTGTGTCTACGCGTGTAAGTGTGTGTGTGTGTCTATGACTACGTGTCTAGTATGTTGAGTAGACTGCTGATAGAATCAGCTGTGATCTACGCTGTAAGCTATTACTACGAGATCAACAATGCAATATCCCTTATATCAAAACATAGATGCATAGAGCTATCAGACACGCCGTTGAGAACTCATGAAGTATACATATATATATATACATAATATATATATATTTGGTAACCGTGGACTAATGGCAGCTGTACCTTGGTACGCGTCACGCTGATTCTATATATCACAGCTAGACATTCTTCGGGGCGGTCAGGTGAGAATAATATACTGCCGCGCCATTCGGGGCAGACTAGTGAATAGATAGATACAGAGGATATAGTCATAGTTGTGTCTGTGGTTGGCATATAGTATGTGTAATAGGTGTTGTATGTAGTATATGATTGATGACGATGTTATGATAGGTAGTGATGAGATAACACACTATAATAAAAATTGACAAATCATATATAGCATATCACTCCTACCAAAGGCAGATAAACTCACTGTGGGGGATAGCCAGAGTACGCACCTTTGATCTGCTTATTAGGGGTGTGGGGTTTCGGACTGTATACTATAATATTTAATCTATATAAACTATCGCATTTAATAATAATTCACGATATAGCGGTCAAATAACCTGTAATTCGAATTATCAATTTACAATGTTATATACATATTATAGAATTAACAATTTACAATTTCGTACAATTACATATAGAGATATTATTGATAGATTATCATGGGCTTAACATCATTAGCTGAGATATAAGTTACGAGATAAGAATATACAAGGTTAGAGGTTACGGTCACGCTTTGTTAAAGAGGGACAGAGTCAGACTATATATACAACGTGACGATTTCCAGGTATGCCGTGGCGGTTGTAATAGACGGTTCGATGTTGAGTTGATGTTTGCAATAATCAATAGCGATTGTTGTCGACTCTCCGTCTCAGGCTATCGGTCCGTAGCCGATGTGTTCCTCCGAACTCTCGGCTTCCACTACCTTGCCAGAACAATCAGCGATCTCGTCACCAAATTACGTTCTATTTGGGTGATAGGCTGAGCGATGTGTCTCTGCTCCTCGTCATTACTGAAGAGAGATGGTAAGAGAGACCTCTTATAGTAATAACTTCAATTTAATGAGTAATGAAGGTGTATTATAGGGATTTAAAATTCTGGATTTCTCTATTTTAGGCAAATTTGGAAACAGGAATATGGAATAAAAAAAAAATTGCACTGTGTGTGTGGGAAGATAGATAGATGACATATATCTTGTATTTATCGACCGATGCTAGACAGACTTTGGCGTCTGTCTAGCACTGCCCCAGAAGAAACAAAAACATCGCCACTTGCGCCGTAAACAAAGACAATTATTAATGATAAAAAAGACTTTGGTGCACATACATACAGCGATAAAGCTTTGCGATCTCCTGTTCCCGCCAGGTCAGATATGGCTCTATTTTCTGACGTTGACCTCGATCGCCATTCCAACTGCCCTGACGTATGTGTATGACCTCGCCCCGACAGCGCTGATGTATAACCCGTGAGTATGACCCTCGGTATTAGGTCAGGAGAGGTTAACAAGGAATGAAGAGAGCTAATTGATGATATAAAAGATGAAGTAATAACAGTGATGATTATAATAGTTATGATTTTCATTGAAATAGTATCCTCAGTTACAGCAATAATGGTAATATTACTATCAGAAATAATGATAATGATAACGATCAATAGAGAAATGAAATTAATGATTAATTAGATTCAGTGATAATTATGATGATATGATAATAATTATGACTAATTGAAATGATAAGACTAATATTAAATTTAGATACTGATAATATAATTTGATGATTTGATAATGATTTTCTCATTCTAAATACATTTAAGTGATCCACACATAATTATTATGATCATATAATGCATAATATTAATTAACGAATAATGCTGACTCACACACCAACGTAGTATACAGCGTTCATTGTTATAATTTGATACCAATTAATGAAATAAATTGGATATTATTATGATGATTAAGAACATATAATAAGAATATTTTGATATATTGCATACTATTGTAAAAAAAACTACTACCTATACATATCTTCTACGCATTAAGCGAAACCTCAATTTCATTATCACTTCATCATAATTATTCTTTATTTCAATAATACTTCGGGCTCAATCATTCAACTTATCATTAACCTCATTCCTTACGACCTCCTCCTTCCTCCTCCTATAACTACATTATTCTATACTTAATCTCTCCCTCTCCTCTCTTCTTCTTCTATGCTATCCTTGTTCTTCCTTCCTCCTCTCCTCCTCATCTCTCCTCCTCATCTCCTCTCTCCTCTCTCACTCTATTTTACATCAACTACATCATTCAATATCTCGTCATCTCTGTCTTCCTCCTCATATATCCCTCTCCACTTCTCCCTCTTCCTCTCTCCTCCTTATCCTCCTCTCTACTACCTCCTCACCTTAGCCTCCATGCTCCTCCATCCTCCATCCCTCTCTCCTCGTAGCCTCTCCCTCTCTCCATCTCTCCTTCTTTCTCTCCTTTCTCTCCTACCTCCTCCTCCTACCTCCTCCCATCCTCCTCCTCCTCCTCTCCCCTCACTCCTCCTTACCTCCTCTTCTCCTTCTCTCGGTCAGGATTTGGGTTGACTTCTAGTCGACAAAGTCTACCGGTGACATCCCTGGTGCCCGCGGTCCCTGGCTCGTGGGCGTCTGGCTCGGCTACGTCTTCCACAAGCAAGGCCAGAGGGAGGTCGTGCTCTAAAGAAGGTAAGGAGGAGAAGGGGTTGGAGGGAGAGATGAAATAGAGGAAGAAAAGTAGAAGGGGAGGAATGGATGAAGGAGGAGAAGGAGGGAAGGAGGGAGGGGGAGAGGGGGATAAGGAGGGAGGGAGGAAGGGAGAGAAGGAGGGAGGGAGAGAGAGAGAGGGAAGAATTGAAATTTCAAATACTTTTATTCCATTAATTACGTTGGATATTTCTATTTCTGTATATGTTTACATTATGTAATAAGATGTTTACTGACATAAATATTATACAATGCTTATGTAACAGAATTAAACGAACATTGACATCATAAGTGACTGAAATCCCGTGCTTAGCTTGATATTTAAGTCCCTGATGCCCGATCTATTAGTGGATGTCCTTTCACTTTTGTTTTAAATGTATTTTGCTTGGAGATATTTCAAATGCTTTCTGGTAGTTGGTTCTAGATCGCCAGGGAAACACCGCCACAGGTCCTGAGCGACCAAACTCACACCCGCAGTGTAGCGGCCAATCACAGGCTCAGGAAATCCGAGCTCCGCGTACCGACCCAGTGGCGTATTCTCGAGCAGTGTGTGATCATAAAATTTAGATAGAATATTATCATACGTTGTTGTTTTTGTTGGTGTGGTATATCATGGTTATTCATTCGTATTTATATATATATATATATCTTTATATGTTTTATATTATATTATTATCGTATTATATAATATTTATATTGTCTATATTTAATTTTACTCTACCATTTATATTTTTCATTCGTAATAATCATTATAATAATATATTACCATATATATATACATGATATATATATACATTATAATACATCAATATACAATACTATTGTTATGTATCTTGATATATAGTATGTATATATATCATATTATATGTATAAATTATATTAATAAATATTATATAATATAATATACATACATATATAATATATATATATAATATATATATATAATAAATATATATATATATTACTACATACATAACACACACACACACACACACAACAACAACACAGTCATCACATATATATATATAAATTATATTATATATATATATTATATAATAAATATATTAATATAATACAATACACATTACATAACATATAATTATACATATATTAATTATATATAATATTATATTCATATAACTACATACTACCTATATACATATTACATATATTACATATATATATATCAATATATATATCAATATTATATATATAATATATATATATGTAGATATATATATATATATATATATATACATTGTATATATTATATATTAATATATATAATATTATATAGTATATGTATATATGTATATGGTATATGTCTATATATATGTATATATGTATATATATATATATATATATATAATTATATATATATAATATAATCATACACACACCACAACACACTATCACACACACACACACACACACACACACACACATATATTACTATTTTATATATTATATATAATATATATATTTATTACATATACATATCTATATTAATACATAGTACATATACATATATACATATACATATTATATGCATATATCATATACTACAATATTTTATATACAATATAAGTAAACGGAGTGGTAATAACGTACATTAACATATAGTCATAATATATAATAACTCAGGTTGGTAGAGATATCGTATATGGCAAGCTGTATATATATAATATGTATTATATGTATAATATATAGTATATTATATATATATATATATATGTATGTTAATATTATTACTTATAATGGATATATATATATTAGACTATGTATGTTGTAATTATATATATGTATAGTATATATTATAGATATATATTTATATTAGTATTTTAATATATTATATATATGTCTGTATATATTATATATATATTTTATATATAATATATATTTATAGTAATAAATTAGTATTGTATATACATATAATAAATATGTATATATTTATATATATATATAATATAATACGTATATAATAATACTATATTATAATAATTATATGTATATGATACGTATATGTGATAGTTGATATATGCTCATATTATGTGTGTAGTGCTGTTATCTGCTAACCGCTGCATGGGCTTGCGATACCCGCCCACCATCACCGACGCTAAGATTAGCGTGAGAGCAGACATTTGCTTCCTAGAACCGAACCCCGGTGCCCGAGACAGCCGCCGGAAACTGCCCGACGACGTCCTCTCGCTGACTTCCCCTTCTCCTTTTGCAAGGCTCGCTCCACTGTTCTTCCACTCAGGCCATCGCGACAGTAAAAAGCTGGAGTGGTCTGCAGGGTCCGTGGCAAAGGCCCCAACTCCGCCCAGACGCCTTAGCGTAAGCGCCTCGTACCCAACATAAAGTTGGTCGGCCTCAGCAAATACTAACTGGAGTTTGCCGAACGCCAGGAGAAAGGGGCGAAGTGGGCGCCGCAAAAAAGCCGCGCACCGACGTTTCATCTTCGTCAGGAGCCCCAGCAGAAGTCCAAGGAGGAAGATGGTGACCAGCCTCATCACGCCAAAGAAGAGGTCGCCCGAGCAGAGGTCACTCGTCTCCTGGCAATCACAGACAATTCGAAGCATCAGTGGTAAGTCTTGTGAACTGGATGCCGTCAAGAAGAATGTGGCCGGAAGTATGTGGCAGCTCGCGCGGGAACCGTGTCGTTGTCCATTGGCAGGAGAGCACTTAGTACCGAGACCTGTTCTTACAATCTTCTCCCGGCAGCCGCAGTGACATCTCTCCCTAACCAACGTCCTCCATTCAACTCCGCGCGAGCTGACACTTCGACGACGTCTGCTACATGCTCGGACCCTTTCTACGAGACTTGCCTTCGTTCGCTCCTCGATCCTTCTGATGTGTCTACGGTCGCCGGGGTGCGGGTCACTCCCGAAGGACATCTCGGCTCCCGCTGCCTTCCGTGGCTTCTTAAACGCCTGTACTCGGCGTGACGAGGAGTTCGTCGGTTCCTGACGGGGTCTTCTGGCCCTCATAAGCTGGTTCTGCCTTTCGTCGGGGCTGTCGGGATCGAAACTTTTGCGGCGCCCTCTTCAGCCCCACTCTCCTCGCGTTGGGGAGATCTCCGACAAGAGGAGTGGAAGAGGCGTGAGTTTTCGTGATCGTCGGGCGTCGTGAGTGGGCGGCTGCCGTCTCCGGTACCCGGGGGCGCAGTCCGGGGATTGGTGTCTCGCCTTCGATCTTCGGGACGGGTGACGTCTCCTGATGTCACGGGCGGAGCGATTATCGTCGCTTAGCGGACGATGTCCACACTAATGGCCTAGTCTTTCGGCCGACGCAATTTGAAACTCAGAATCGAATCCCACCAGTAGACAAAGCATTTGCCCTCGTCGCGGTTACATCAAGCATAACAGAAAGATATTCCTTTTTATTCAATCAGATCCTGATATTAGTGACCACAAAACGGTTGAAAGCCCGTTCCATATATCTAAAATGGGTAGTAAATTTAGCACAGTCATTTATATATATATATATATATATCTATATTATTATATATATAATATATATGAATATACAATATTATATATATTGTATATTATATTATATATCGTATCCTATATCTATATTCTATATATATTATGTAAATATATAAATTATGAAAATACATATATATATATAATATTTATTACTCATATTCTATACTATATATAATATAATTGAATGGTAAATTTACTTAACCATTTTATTTAGGGTGAGAGCGGGTTCACGTCGTTTTGTGGGATC